AAGAAAAAGGAAGAGGAATCGCGAAGAGAAAAAGAGTGAAGGAGTTAAAAAGGAAGAGGGAGAGAGAGAGAGAAAGAGAGGTCGAAAGAATAGGAGAGACAGAGCAAAGAGAGAAAGGAAGGCAGAAGGAAGAGACAAGATTATAGATGGGAAAGAAGAGTAAGAGAAAGGGCGAGAAGACAGAGAATGTAAGAGAGAAAGAAGAAGAGAAGTAAAGATGAGAGAAGTAGGGAGAGATAGACTAAAATATGACGAAGGAAAAAGAAAGAAGTGTATCAAGGAAGAGTACGGCGGTGAGAAAAAGAAGAGGAAAAAGAAGTATAAAGCGAAAGAGGGGCAGAAATAGAAAGAGATAGAAAAAAAGATAAAGAAGGGTGGAACATCAAGAAGAAACTGGAAAAAAAATCCCGAGAAAAAATGAAAAAGGAGAAAATGGACGATGAAAATAAAGAAAAAAAAAGAGGAAAAGGAAGCAAGAATAAAAGATAAGGAAAAAGAAGAAAAACGAGAAACAATGAAAGAAAGAAGATGGAAAAACGAGCAAGAGAAGGAGGTGAAAAAATGGGGAAGTAAAAGTAAGAAAAGAAGAGAAAGAAGAAAAGTAAAAGAAGAAAAGAGGAAAAGGTAAAAGAAGAAAAGAGAAAGAGGAAAAGAGAAAGAGGAAAAGAGAAAGAGGAAGAAGAAAAGAGAAAAATTAAAAAAAAGAAGAAGAAGAAAATAGAAAGAGGAAAAGGTGAGAGAGGAAAAGAGAAAGAGGAAGAAGAAAAGAGAAAAATTAAAAGAAAAGAAGTAGAAGAAGAAAAGAGAAAGAGGAAAAGGTGAAAGAGGAAAAGAGAAAGAGGAAGACGAACAGATAAAAAATTAAAAGAAAAGAAGAAGAAGAAGAAAAGAGAAAGAGGAAAAGTGAAAGAGGAAAAGAGAAAGAGGAAGAAGAAAAGAGAAAGAGGAAAAGATGAAAGACGAAAAGAGAAAGAGGAAGAAGAAAAGAGAGAAATTAAAAGAAAAGAAGAAGAAAAAGAAAAGAGAAAGAGGAAAAGATGAAAGAGGAAAAGAGAAAGAGGAAGAAGAAGAAAGGAGAAGAATTAAAAGAAAAGAAGAAGAAAAGAGAAAGAGGAAAAGATGAAAGAGGCAAAGAGAAAGAGGAAGAAGAAAAGAGAAAAATTAAAAGAAAAGAAGAAAAGAGAAAGAGGAAAAGGTGAGAGGAAAAGAGAAAGAGGAAGAAGAAAAGAGAAAAATTAAAAGAAAAGAAGAAGAAGAAGAAGAAAAAAAGAGAAAGAGGGAAAGATGAACGAGGAAAAGAGAAAGACCAAGAAGAAAAGAGTAAAGGGAAGTAAGATTTTGCTATTTTGCTAATTTTTAAAGCGCATTGTTTATCCTATTTACATTATTCGGACTATTGTCCTCATCTTTGTCGCCATATTTATCACAACATTTCGGCCGTTGTACGCTCCGGCCTTCTTCAGGTGGTTGGAATGTCGAACTGAACACTTTATTCCGATCACTGGGACAGACTGTTGTAGTTCCACGTGCAATGTTTAATGGATGTCAGTTATCAGTTATCTCCTGTTAATTCCCCTCTCCAAGTTCTCCACCGCCTTAGCCGGGTATTGAACTCACACTCTTTGGGTCCCGTCACTGGATCTAACTAAGGCTTTTATCCACTGTTTTCAATTAGGCGACACCTCCCACTTTCTCAAGGGTTGTGATTTTTTGGTTTCTCGATAATTTATCAAGTGCTTTAACATATGTTCATGGTAAAATAGTCTTTGATCTTCTGAACACATTGTCACGATAATCATTTCCTACAAAAAGTCTTTATCAAAAACAGTGTCGATCATTTTGTATTTCCTAAATATGGTGCCAATTATATCTCCTTTCTCAATGCCAATGGCGATATTGAGTCCCACATTTTTGATAACTTTCATCAGGTCGAGGTGGTTTTGTGTATAATGTCTGGGAAGCCTATGAGTTTCCATTTAATATCTCTATATAAGGTTTAAAATTTGTGATGTAGATTGCCGATGTATGTCATATCTTATTGATAGTTCGATTTAGACGACCCGAAGGACATATTTTATTGATAATTGAATGTAGACGATCCGAATGTCATATGTTATTGATAGTTCAATGCAGACGATCCGAATGTCATATATTGTTATTGATAATTCAATGTAGACGATGCGAATGTCATACATTATTGATAGTCCAATGTAGAAGAACTTAATGTCATATATATTGATAGTCAATGTAGACGATCCGAATGTCATATGTTATTGATAGTTCAATGTAGACAAAAATGTCATATGATATTGATAGTTCAATTTATCCGAATGTCATATGTTATTGATAGTTCTGTGAACGATCCTAATGTCCTTGATAGTTCAATGTAGACGATCCGAATATGTTATTGATAGTTCAATGTGACGATCCTAATGTCATATGATATTGATAGTTCAATATCTGTGTAGACGATGTAAATGTCATATGTTATTGATAGTTC